CACCTCCTGAGATGTCCTCTCAAAATATCAAGACAAAAACTCCAGAAAGCATTCCAGAACAAAATCTTTACAAAATGAATAAAGTATGTAATTGCCATCATTCATTAATGTAGTTTGATTCATTCAAAACAAATTTGATTAGTTGTATTATGTGTTTTCCAGCTGTAACGCACTCAGGGAAGCCTCAGACACAAATGGCTGAATATCTGCAGGCCAGTAAACAGTAAATCTGTTGGGTCTTAAAAACGTACAAATTTCTCATTTCACACTTGTTTTCCGGACCACTGAGGTGAATCCAAACAAATTGAACTCTGTTTACAGAGACAGACTCACCAACTATTGTATCATCAACTCGTCACTTATGCCTAATGCACCAGAGACTAGCAGGAGAAAAAAGAAATGAACTGTTGGAAATCAAATAATTTCTTAAACATAATCTAAAAACCTAAAGCAACAACCGGACACAAAATTAAACTTTAAAATGTCTCGTCTTGAACAATCAGCAGATTTTTTTTGCACGAAAAAAAAGTATATTTGCGGGTACAATGTAGATGTATTTATAACTTTTCCTTAAACTGTTTATCATTCAGAGCTGAAGATCCGTGGGAAACCGAAAGGTGCACAGGAGGAAAACATCTGGTGTCTCTGGCAAAGACGAGCAGAGGTAATTGCAGATGCTTAACGTGCGTACGGAGCAGAGGAGGAGGAGAGAAAACAAGATGAGACAATGCATGTTAACAACTGTTTTGTGAAATTGTAAATCTGTCTCATCTGAAAGCAACTCAGCCTGGAAACACGCTTAATAACTCCGTTCATACGAGCATAACTAATACACCACATGGTGGAGTGGCTTATAATTCACAACAAACATAGCCCTGCTCAAAATAGTTGTCCCACTTCTTTTGCATGCTGTCCAGTGTGAAGAATACCCAGAGTGTGTTCAGAAATAGGAGGTGAAGAAGGAGCGGCAGGTAGGTAGGAGGTTCAAAGGATTACAGCGAGTCAAATATGTGCAGGTGACGCAGAAGACAGCGCTTAAATAAACTTTATTTGCAAAAAGGTTCCTGTGTGAAAAGAGAAGAAAACAAAGGCTAGATTCCTGATTGCACACACACACACACACACACACACACACACACACACACACACACACACGGCATGTACAGATCTCCTATTGCATGATTTAAAGCAAAATGATCAAGTAAAAATGTAAATAGGTATAAAGGAGAACTCATTTAATTGTGTAGACGTGCGTGTTGGCAACATTTTGTGTGTGCGTGCGTGCATGCGTGTGTGTGTGTGGCACCCAATACCATCAGCCATGATGAATTATCAGCTAAAGACCTGCCCTGGATGAGCCCTTATGAAACTGGAGTAATGAGCAGCTAAAACCCAACAGCTGCCTGACGATAACCAGGAAGGTTGCTTGACAGAAAGTAATGGGTCACTTCAAAAATAAACACTTTTTGGGTTAATCATGAATGCAAATTAAAAAAATACTCAAATTTGCTGGAATTATTTTTGTTTTAAATGAAAGAAAATCAGCTCCTCTAATCTGAGACTGTGGTCTTGAGTCGGAAAAAAGTAGAATGCCTGCTCCAGGTCAGGGACGAGGTCCTGCCTCAAGTGGAGGAGTTTAAGTATCTCGGGGTCTTGTTCATGAGTGAGGAAAAAATGGAGCATGATAGACAGGAGGATCGATGCAGAGTCTGCAGTGATGCGGGCCTTATACCGATCTGTCGTGATGAAGAGTGAGCTGAGTGGGAAGGCAAAGCTTTTGATTTACCGGTTGATCTATGTTCCTACCCTCACCTATGGTCATGAGCTTTGGGTAGTGACTGAAAGTTTTCTCTGCAGGGTGGCTGGGCTCTACCTTAGAGATAGGGTGAGAGGCTTAGTCATCCACGTCGAGAGGAGTCAGCTGAGGTGGCTTGGGCATCTGGTTAGGATGCCTCCTGGATGCTTCCCTGGTGAGGTATTTGAGGCACGTCCAACCGGGAGGAGACCTAAAGTAAGACCCAGGACACGGCGGAGGAACTAATGCTACTTACACATTCGCATCTGCTTCACCCTATATACCTCTCCACTCTGCCCACCCCGGCCCCTTTTGTTCCACATTGGCTTAAGAATGTGGATGTGAATGAGCACATGGGTGGCCTGTGATGTCATGAGCGCATTTCTGAACACATGGTCGGAGATAAAAGAGCGTGGAGAAGTCTGCGGCATCTCCATTACTAAACAAAAGCGGTCTGAGCAGTCTTACTTTTGGAGACTGATTGTGTGTGTGTGTGTGTGTGTGTGTGTGTGTGCGCGTGCGTGTGTGCGTGTGTGTGTGTGTGCGTGCGGGTGTGCGTGCATGCGTGCGGGTGTGTGTGTGTGTGTGTGTGTGTGTGCTCCTCACAGTAGTGAGAGACATAGTAAAACAACTTCAGTCAGAGGCTGGTCAACTCCACAGCATCCTGAATGATCATTAACTGCGCAGGCAGGAAGCCCCTGCGGGCTGGTACATGTAATTTTGAGCCAGCCAATCAGTCAGCAGTGGGTGTGTTGGCCCTGTTTGGCTTTAGGCAGACCACATCAGGAAGAGGGCTGAAAAGACACATTGTAGCGTGCGGGAAAATCCAAGACTACCTAAATGAGAACACTCACAGCCCAGTCTTGGCGGAGTGGAGCCGATGCTAGTTTGGAAGTGCCGTATGGTTCTCGAATGGAGAACGCCTTAGGATTCTCCCGGAGTAGATGACCCAAGTGGCTGGAGAGGGGGACGTCTGGGCCTCTCTAACTAGGCGGATGCCCTGTGACCCAACCCCAGATTAGCAGAAGAGAATGGATGGATGGATGGATGGATGGATGGATGGATGGATGGATGGATGGATGGATGGATAGATGGATGGATGGATGGATGGATGGATGGAAGAAATTCTGTAAGAAAAGCATTTCTCTTGCATGCAGCGATCTCATTCGCACACGGACATCGTTTACCCAAGCTGTATTAAAAGGAAACGACTCAGTTCAACAAGTAATTTCACAAAACATTGATTTTTTGTTTCACAATCCAGCTGGTTGGAAGAAATCCTAATGAGCAAAATAAATCCTGCCAAAAAAAAGAGTTCCTTCCACATCTGTGTAATTATCCTTCTCCTCTCCTCACCCAATAATATCGACCTGTAACCTAGCAACCTACGGCTAGCAGCAACCACCTGGACCGCACAGGCTCTCCTGCATCAAAATTTTTATTATGAAAGATTGTTTTATTTATTTTCTCCTCAAATAGTTGCTGTGTAGATTTGAATAAACCACTTTATTAGCTGCACAGAAGTTTTAACAAAGTCTGGATATTCTGCAAATTGGTTATTTTTGATAGTGACACAAAAATACATAAGATAAACATTATAATTACATTTTGAGCATTCTCAGGTTAATGAATAATCTGATAAAAGCTTCTAAGAAAGTAGACATATTTAAAATACGTTGAAATAGAAAAAGAAAACTTTATTGAAGAAACTTCAATAAAGTGTTGACTGTTTTAATTATGCGTGTATGCATCTAGGGCTGGACACATCTAATGATACGATTGGTTATGCTGACTTGTTTAAACAACACAAATGTTTCTTGACTAGTAACATAAATATATTTAACTACAATAATGTTAAAATGAATATTGTTTTCCTTTTAAATTTAAGAAGCAAATGGGCTTCATGTTCCTGTGCAAACACATTATGGGATGGATTTCCATCCATCCATTCATCCATCTACCCATTTTCATCCACTTATCTGGGGTCGGGGGGCAGCAGCCTAAGCAGAGAGGCCCAGAACCCCCCCCCCCCAGCCACTTGGGCCAGCTCCTCAAGGCGTTCCCTGGACCTTCGAGAAACGTACCCTCCAGCGTGTCCTGGGTCTTCCTTTAGGTCTCCTCCCGGTTGAATGTGCCCAGTAATCATAACTAGATACCCAAGCCACCTCAACTGGCTCCTCGCTCCACTCAGAGCCCCTCCTAGTTGACCAAGATTCTCACCCTATCTCTAAGGAAGAGCCCAGACACCAACAGACAATACAACGCCCACATCACTGCAGACGCACCAATCCACCTGTCGATCTCACGCTCCAGTTTTCCCTCACTCATGAACAAGACCCCAAGATACTTAAACTCCTCTACTTGGGGCAGGACCTCATCCCTGACCCGGAACAGGCATTCTACCCTTTTCCGACTCAAGACTGTCATAAATGTGAATGAGTAATATCACCTAGAAATAATTTTTATTATAAATTCAAAGAACAAATAAAGTCTAAAAATGAATCCTAAGTACTTTCACAATAAAAACTCAGCATGTAAAACAAAATAACTTAAAAATTTGGTTTTAGATCCTATTTTTGCTGTTTGCCTAAATTAGCTAATATTAGTCATGTGTTCCATAAGTTATGGGCTAAAGATAATAAGTTTAAGGGATGCAGTTTTCACAAGTACCAAAGTTATTCTATCGTAATGCATATTGTTTTAAAATGTTTAAGTGCATCAAACACTAAAACTATTGTTGCGAAATAAAGACATTACATATTCTTGTTTATTTTGTCCAGTATAGTTGTGCTGCAATTGGTTAATATTGTTTCCACAAACAAGCTAATTGCCAACACATTCAATTTATTTTAAAACTAATAAATGCGAGTACATCAATTTTCCTTTATGTGGTACAAAAACATTTTAAAAGTAAATAACATTTCTTTAATTTTACAAATGTTCTGGATCGACACAGCAGAAATATTCCCATGAAGTTCTGCATGTGACTCGGATGTTTTCTACTCATCATTCAATCCGACTTTATAAAAAAAAGTCTCATATTGCTGACGCTGAGGAGCACAGATCAAAGGATTATTGATCACTGTTCCTCTAAAGGAGATAGAATAACTCGGCTGTGAAGATGAGATCACCAACATCCAACCTGATTCAGTTTCAAATGTACCCCCCCCCCCCCCCCCCCCCCCCACACACACACACACACACACCCGACCAAGGGGAATATAGGATAAGTTTTAGACAGTCGAGTGACTCGCGGCTGCACTCAGGACTGGCCGATCATGAACTTTCAGGTTATTCTCCCATTCAGCAGCATGTACCTGTCAGACACTTTGGCACCTTGTAACGTTCAAACAGAAGCCTGCAACAGGCAACCACAAACATCACACGGCTGACATCTCCTCTCTGAAGAAACCTCAAGGCGCTTACTTTTATTTTTATGGAAAGCAAAATGTTCAGAAAAGGGCTGACATGCAAAATCCTGTGAAGGTGTACCTTTCCTGCAACCCAGCCACATTTCAGATTTTAAAATGACCATCTCTCACTGTCTGGCTATATGGGTTCCAGTGAATTATTTGCCAGCTGAGAATGCATCAAATACTGCCTTAGCTGGTGAGAACACAAGACCCCAAATGCATTTCCAGCATGAAGAATTAGATCCAAACGCGGCTTAAAGAAGAAACAAGCAGCCAGCTGAAACACAAGAAGTGGACATCTGTGTTTCTTAATTGACTGTGGTGTTTTTTACATGGTTTAGCTTGTGACATATTCATAGTTTATTATTTTGTGGGTTGTTTTCCTTCACAAACTACCTCTAAGAATTAATTATATCTGAAACTTTTCACTTTTCTTTACTCTCTTTCTTTTTCTGCAAAGACAACATCTCAAAAACTGTCACATTATTATGACCACAGGGGAATTTGTATTTATTTGCAAGGCCACGGTAGCTAACAACACTGGGGGATTCTCTTGTTTTTAATTTAATAAAGCTGCTTACATGTTTGGACATGGTTTTGTATTCACGATTTGCAGATTTACAGTTTGTGCCACCTTAACAAAAGCCGTCACCAAAACAGCTCATCACTGAGACGAGTCAGACTGAAGCCCCAGAAAAGAACAGGCTGTAAGACAATACCAGACGAATACAGAGGCCAAAAATATTCTGATTACAAATGATACTGGAAGGGCAAACAACAGGAACACAACATAATTAGACAAAAATACAGACTCAACACAATCGAATGAGCTATAATTTTTAGAATGGGGACAGATGACCCCTGAAAGGGAAAGCCAAAAGAGAAGACCACCTGATTTCCTGCTTTTTCATAGAAAATGTAAAAAAAAAAAACTATCAAACATCCATTAATGGGTGAGACAGTGGAAGACATGGTAGTGATGTTGAAGATTCTTCAGAAGCACGGTTCACACAGCAAGATAATCATGCCATTTTTTTGACCAGCCATGCCCCTTCTGAAAATATTAAAGTTGTCCAAGAATAGCTCTAAAGTTTATCTTATCAGACAATCCTATCTTGTGTGGTGTGTTCAAAGACCTCTAAATGGCTGTTGGGACCACTCTGAAAGCCCGGATTTATGATCAAACATTTTCGATTGGCCTGGTCTGATTTTTGGGGTCAAACTAACGTGCTGCCTGCTGAAACGAACATCTATCCAATCAGAAAGCGAGGTGACGAAAGCATACTTCACCCCTTCTGGAAAAACAGCATGTGTTGTGTTTTGATGCCGGTATGTTGGTCCAGCATGTAATGCTAATGACTGGATGCTGACCCAGCACGCTTGACCAGCATCCCATGTTGAATCAGCATGCAATGCTGGTCCATAAGCTAAACCAGCATCAAAACACAGCATACAGTGGGTGCGGAAAGCATTCAGGCCACAGTCAATTTTTCACTCCCTTTTATTGCAACCATTCGCTAAATTCAATTAAATTAATTTTTTCCCTCATTAACGTACACACAGCACCCCGTATTGACAGAATTTTAGAAATTTCTGCTAGTTATTAAAAAAGAAACTGAAATATATCATGGTCCTAAGTATTCTGACCTTTTGCTCAGTAGAAGCATCTTTTGAGCTAATAAAGCCACAAGTCTTCTTGGTAAAGATGCAACAATTTTCTTACACCTGGATTTGGGAATCCTCTGTCATTCCTCCTTCCAGATCCTCTCCAGTTCTGTCAGGCTGATGGTGAACGTTAGTGGACAGCCATTTTTAGGTTTCTCTAGAGATGCTCAATTCAGTTTAAGTCAGGGCTCTGGCTGGGCCATGCTTTGAGTCATTGTTATGTTGGAAGGTAAACCTTTGGCCCAGTCTGAGGTCCTGAGCACGCAGGAGAAGGCTCTTGTCCAGGATATCCCTGTACTTGGCTGCATTCATCGTCCCCTCAATTGCAACCAGTCATCCTGTCCCTGCAGCTGAAAAACATCCCCACAGAATGATGCTGCCACCACCATGCTTCACTTTGGGGATGGCTGTGGACAAGTAATGAGCAGTGTCTGGTTTTCTCCACACAAACTGCTTAGAATTGAGGCCAAAATGTTTTATCTTGGTCTCAGACCAGAGAATCTCATTTCTTACCATCTCAGGGTTCTTCAGGAGTCTTCTAGCAAACTCCATGTGGGCCTTCATGTGTCTTGCACTGAGGACAGGCTTCCAATGGGCCGCTCTGCTATAAAACCCTGACTGGTGGAGGGCTGCAGTAATGGTTGACCTTCTGCAACTTTCTCCCATTCCCTGAGGGCTCTGACTTTGGATTCTTCTTTACCTCTCTCACCAAGGCTCTTCTCCCCTGGTAGCTCAGTTTGGCCAGACAGCCTGCTCTAGGAAGGGTTCTAGTCATCCTAAACGTCTTCCATTTAAGGATCATGGTGGCCATTGTACTCTTAGGAGCCTTAAGTGCAGCAGAGAAGTTTTTTTAACCTAGGTTAGATCTTTGCCTTGCCACAACTCTGTCTCTGAGCTTTTCAGCCAGTTAATTTGACCTCATGATTCTCATTTGCTCTGACATGCATTGTGAGCTGTAAGCCGTGTTGTGCCCAAACGCATTCATTGAACAATCGTTCGTGAATTTGTTTTTTTTCGTGAACGTGAACTGAACTCGTTCGTATTTTGCATGACGAACGTAAAAGTGAGTGAGTTTGCCCTGGCGTGCGTAAACAGGTTTATGAACGCGTTCTTTCGCCGTTCCAGCTCTAGATCTCCACGGACCTTTTCCGGAGCTAAAGCCTAGCTAAAACATCCTGTTAACCATGGAGTTCATAAAAAGTAGAACCCGCAAATGCGGCCAAACATAGGCAGTAGCGGTTGGTGCAGCGTCTACTCTTCTACATCTATGCTGTGTGCAGGAGTCAAAGCTCATTGAGAAAAATTGAAAAGGGACTAAACTGAAAGATTATACATTTTTTTAATGTTTTGCAGCTGGCAATGAGTGTGGACTGAACTATTGGAAAATGATTTAATAAGTTATATGTTTGTGTGTGTGTGTGTGTGTGTGTGTGTGTGTGTGTGTGTGTGTGTGTGTGTGTGTGTGTGTGTGTGTGTGTGTGTGTGTGTGTGTGTGTGTGTGTGTGTGTGAGAAAATAGAACTATGAACTAGTTTGTTTTTGGAACAGTGAATTTAGTTCAAAATGTTTTAAATTACGAACTAAGAAACAAACTAGTTTGTTTTAAAATGTATGAACGGAACTTTGAACTAGTTTGTTTTTTAAACGAACTTTCCCAACACTGGCTGTAAGGTCCTATATAGACAGGTGTGTGGCTTTCCTAATCAAGTCCAATCGGTATAATCAATCACAGCTGGACTCCAATGAAGGTGTGAGACCATCTCAAGGATGATCAGACGAATATGATGAGTGTCACAGCAAAGGGTCTGAACACTTAAAGCCATTGTGGTTTGTCTTTTTAATAACGCTGCATATATTTCTAAAATTCTGTGTTTTTCTGTCAACATGGGGTGCTGTGTGTACATTAATGAGGGAAAAAAGATTTTTGCAAATGGCTGCAATATAACAAATGGTGAAAAATTGACTGGGGTCTGAATACTTTCCACACCCACTGTATGCTGGTTACCAACTGCAGGTCTATGCTGGTTTTTCCCAGCAGGGACGCTTCTCCGCCACCGTGTTTCTCTCCTACTTAGAAATCATGGAAGGAGCCTGAAATTCACATTGTAGATGCATTCCCTCTGTGAAGGACAGCATTAAAAACTTTTAAAAATGGAAATCGCATTTTGTGATTTTTTTTTTATTATTTATCTGTCTGTCTTTTCTCAGGTGTCCAAATATCCGTGTACAGCAGGGCAATGAATTAATAAATAAATACATTATTTAAATGCGCTAAATTACAAGGTGTTCAAATCATTTTCTTCCTCAATGTGCCTTAAAAACTGTTTTCTTCTGAAATAATAATACATTGTTGGCTCTTTTAAGATCCCCAACTTGTATCTATGGCTATGGCCATGTGCATTCAGGATGGCTGTTGGTAAAAACATTGTTTATAAACCAAATAGGTGAAATCTAGATGTTGAAATCCTCACTGACTTACTAAAGTGATTAGAAAACTAGCCTAAACACGTACGAGTTACTGATGTCCAGTTTATGTTGCAGATGATTTTGTGTTTTTTTTTAACATAGGGAAAAAATAAGAACATAATTAAATATAAATGTCGCCTTTAAAAGAACAGTTTTAAGTTTTAAACACATGCAGGAAGCTTCAGGCTGTCTAATGTGTGTTTTTCCTTCATCTTGGCACCTCTTGTGTTCCTCTCTGCACTTTAAAAGCACCAATAAGGTTAAAAAAACAAGACAGTGAGTCTTTTGAAGATTTCTCAACCTTGTTTTGTGAAATAACTTTGACAAAAGTGGAGGAGGAGCAATGATGAGGATGTGAGGAGAGATGGCTCCTAATTGGATAAAAGATCAAAAGCACAAGGAATTTCAATGTTGCTTTATTATTTTTTTGGCTGACAGCATTCTTGTACACACAACCATACACACACACACACACACACACACACACACACACACACACACACACACCTGTGGCTCATTAGGTTTCAATGTAATAAAAATGATCATGAATCCAGGCTCTTAATGCTGTAGTTTTTATCTATAGCAACACTTTAATTTATGCAAATTTCAGAATCTTACCATGAAGCACTATGCTCCACCTGTGGGTAAACCTTGTCACCAACATTCAGACATCAATTCTGTTTGCTTCACAGCCAGACAGGGCAAGGAGAAAAAAAAAAAATAATAATCTAACATGAAAAATAGCTGTAATAAAAGTATAAATAAATAGTAGGCTGGGCAATATATCGAAAATATTTTGTGATCAAAATTTCTGACTCAAACCGATTTCATTTTTCCCATGTTAATAAATTCAATATAAAAAATGAAAAGATGTGTGTATCTTGGCGATGTCCATGTCACATGACTATGTCAATCAATGTAAAACATGTGGCAGCCCCATCTAGTGGGCAACTTTTGTTTTTGCTCATACAGATAGCATTCGTTCAACTATTGTTATCGAGGTGAACTCCTCAATAGATTGTGATACTGATTTTAGGCCAAAACGCCCAGCCCTAATAAATAGCAAGTGAAAAGATGCATTTCTTAGACTTTTGTCTTTCATTTTAACTAAATATGTCTGCTTCATCTAGCATAAGATTCATAAGACCACATACATGATTGCATTTGGTATTATACGTAAGTCTCGCAGCCAGAAGGTTGCAGGTTCAAAATTCACCTGGCCTCTCCTCATGGAGCTTGCATGTTTTCCTCGTGCATGGGAACACCAGTTTCCTTCCACAGATTTAAAAAAATGCAAATTAGTTTTAAAACTAAGTTGCTTTGGATATATTAAAGGTTCAATAATAGTTATAATCCACAGTTTATGGAATATTCCATTTTATTGAATACCTTTATAGTTTATTGACACTTAATTAAAAGCAACCAATTACAAAATGTTACAAAAGCATCTTCTGAATAAAAAAGATGTTTCCCATAACAGCTAGTGTCTAAAATACAGCTTTCCACACATGCAGGTGTTTGTTTAGGTGATAAAAAAAATGTACAACATCTGTTTTTATTTAAATCATCCCGGTAGATATAGAAAAGTTAAGAAAAGAAACCAGAGGAAAGAAAGGGTGCAGGAAATCACAGAAGGTGAGGCCAGATAAAGACAGTAAAAAAGACAGTCATTTTATTATATACCACAAAATATTAATGTTAATTTTTATTTTCTTTTGAAATAGAGAAGGTAAGAAGTGAGGTTTCCTCACGTTTCCTGTGCATGAACATTAAATAGGAATGTAGGAATGCATCGAATTGTCATTAATTTCTCATCTGTAAAGATTTTTGAAATTAAACAGAAGAGTACCAGTTAAAAGCTTTTTAACTGATGCTAGCCTGGCCTGCCAGACTCATCCTCTGTTTAATTCTGCACAGAGAAAGAGTCTGGTTACTCACAGGCAAAGAGGCAGATGAGGGGCGGGACTAGCCAGCTCAAAAATAACCAATCAGAAAAAAGACGAAAATGCAGACTGAACTGCGCAACACTTTAGTTTTTTAGCTGTAGTCAGAAATGGCGTCTGGCGACAGTGCAAACATCTTTCTTTAGAGGAAATACTTTTAGCGCTTCTACTTGTTGTGCTTTTAAAGACATGTCCAAGTCATTTAGAACAGAGGAAAGAGGCACATACATCATACATCACACATGTCACGTGATCAGGAAGCAGAAAACCATGTGTTAGGAGATCGTTTTGGGCTGCTGCTGTAAAAAAAAGTGAGGTACGAACCGGAAAAGCTTCTGCCGATCACAATTCGACAACGGATTATGAAAGAACGGATAACGCTCGAAATGTGCAGATTCTTCCTGATGCAAGAATTAAGTCTACTCTTAGTTTTGTTAGTTTTGGCGTTGACATCGTCATAGTGCGCAACGTTCTGTGACTCTTAAAAAAATGAGTGAAAACACTGAAAAATGCTGGCAGTGAAGGGCTTTTCTGATCAGGAAACGGCTGGCAGTGAATGAGTTAAGCTTGGTTAGAAAAGTTTACTTCACTTTTAGTACTTGCAAAATGGCAATTCACTATTTCACTCTAAAATGTAACATAATTACATGAATATTAATAAAATATTAGTTTTAAAGCCAGAAAACATTTAAATATAGTTCATGTTAATGAATTTAAAACACATCTGGTGACTTTTTGGACAACTTTGCTATAGAGGGGACTGAGCCCTAGTGGAACCCCGCAGTGGAACCGCCATGGGGCCCAGAGTGCTGTGCTGTGCTCACATCTTATTGTCAAAAGGATAAAAACAAGTGGCAGCCAGGCTGCCTCATGCAGACCTACTACAACAGCAGCCTTTAGAAGAAACGTTCAAGTCACTTCTAATTGTCTCCCTGACTCATCATTGTACATAAAAATGTAGCTGTAACCACCGCACAGATGCCATCTTCAGCTTTAGTGAAGGAGCTGTTTGTACAGTAGCATCGTGCAAAATAGAGAAAAAATATTTAATCAGAAAAGACCAATTTTCTCTTTTTGGGACGTGTTTTTGTATCAGTTTCAACTTGATTTTAACCATCTGATAGAAACAAGCCCGTGTTTCAGGAAGATTAAAGTATCCATCAGTCACCTTCAAAACTGAAGACATGTGATGGATTTCCTATTATACATTTCTGTTCTTCATGCATAAAGGTTCACTGATTTCCTGTCATTTTGTTGACAAATCTGTGATGACAAAAACACAAACATCATTAAGTTGCTTATAGAATAATAAGATTTAGGATTTGTAACATAATTGCTGACATTTCTTGTGCCAACTGTAGGGAGATGGGTTTCCTTCCAGAGCTCTTTTCCATTGCTGGTGCAATTTTTTTCTGTCTGTAACTTGGCTTTCTTACCCATTAATTCCACTGACATTGGCGCTGTTAAACGTCACGTTAACGTGCTTGAAGGGGATGTCCCTTCTCTGCGTAATGATAAATGATAAATGACCCGCACTTGTATAGCGCCTCTCAGAGTAAGGACTCCAAAGCGCTTTACACTACAGTGTATCATTCATCCATTCACACACACATACACACACGGATGGTGATGAGCTACGATGTAGCCACAGCTGCCCTGGGGCGCACTGGCAGAGGCGAGGCTGCCGAGCACAGGCGCCACCGGTCCCTCCGACCACCACCAGCAGGCAAGGTGGGATAAGTGTCTTGCCCAAGGACAAGACAGCAGAATTCTCTGTCCGGAGCCAGGATTGAACCTGCAACCTTTCAATTACTGGGCAACCCGCTCAACCTGTTGAGCTACTGCTTAAGTTGGCACTTTGCCACTAGTGTGCGTTGCGGTTGCCAGGCACTTCTGAACGTCATACGATATAATTAAATAAGTCAAATCCAATTTAAAAAGACACGGAAAATGTTTAACAGAAAAAAAGAAAGATGTAAAACAGATGAAAACAATAAAAGGAAAAGGTTCAACCAAGTCTTTATTTATACTTGTGCTCTGAAGGAATTGAAAGGGCAAGAGTCCGGTCAAAACTGAGTGAACTACGACAAATTCTAATCTCTCCATCATGGAATGATTTGAAAAAAAAGCCACTGCAGAATTTGAGATTTGTGGGATTTCTTTGCAACTCCAAAATGGATAACGAATAAAGATATCTCATGCACGTCATATTCACAAAGACATCAAACTTTATAAAGTCTACAAGTCCACGCATGCTTAGTCAGGAACCCTTCAGGTGTCCAGAGTTTGTCTCAGAGTGTTTGTCAACCATCAGCTGAGAAGAGTTGATGAGTTAAAAGAGAAATTAAGAAAAAACTAACTGAAAAAGTGATGCAGGTAGATGTTCAGGTGAAGGTGAAGATCCATCTCCAACGTGGTGTACCAGAAACACGAAGGGCGGCGATGACAAAGACGGAGAGTGGGTGAAGGTGGAGAGCAAATTATGTGCTGTCACTTTGTGAAATGCCACCCAGCCTGTCACATATCTCTACATTATTAATTACACCATGCCACACTTCTGAATAATGGAACAGCTCTATTTAACCAGAGTGAATAATTGAGCAGCTGCTTAGCGTCGTGTTTATAACAGGATCAATAAGCACAGGGTACAGGTGAGGAAGTCCAAAGGATCCACAGAGATAAAGTTGAGTTCAGCAGGTGTGTGTGTGTGTGTGTGTGTGTGTGTGTGTGTGTGTGTGTGTGTGTGTGTGTGTGTGTGTGTGTGTGTGTGTGTGTGTGTGTGTGTGTGTGTGTGTGTACTGGCATTTGAAAAAACAAACTGGTTCTGGCCACGTCCACCTACTCCCGTTATTGGATGCTACAAGCTGAGAAGGAGGGTCTCAAATTATCGTTCCTCCAGACTCGACAGGCGAGAGGTGGTACAATTCTACTTTACTTGTTTGTGACACCACAAATGGGGACCTTCTGAATCAGCTTGTTTTACGCACATAATTCTTAAAACCAAATGCTAACAGAAAATGGTTGTTTTTGTCACGTTTGGAGTGTAGAGGCAGTAGCTCCCCACATGGTTTTGCATAACATGTCCTCTTTAACAAGATAACCCTCCCACTGTCTTTATGAGTGACCCCGTGAGGAAAGATGACCATTGAGCAGGATTAATGGTTTATTCCTTGAGGTCCACGTGGCAGGGGTGAGTTGGTGCTCACTCCTCACCCCTGCCACATGGACCCAAGGGATAAACCATCAATCCTGCTCAATGGTCAACTTTCCTTGCAGGGTCACACCCATTAGGAGAGTGGGAGGGTTAAATACATAAATAACAAATAATGTTATGTCCTGCTCCGAGATGTGACACGTTAAAAGGGATAAATCATTATTATTAATTCGCTTATTTCATTTGTTTATTAAGTTTTGCATCAACACAAACATTCTGAACTCAAACCAGATTCTTAGTATTGTTTAGATTGTTCATTAAAGCTACTATTGACTCAAAATCCATTGATGTGTTAAGAGAAAGTCAAGGTTAGCCCAGAAGCCAATAGCACACAATAAGATAAGTGTTTTAATTTTTACAACACTAAGTCTGTATCTGAACACACTGTTTGCAAAACCACACGAGCATAGAGAGAAAGCTCCTAGTAGAAGAATGAGTTTGATGTGAGCTATTCTACTCGAGATAAAACATTCAGACAGGCCAGTTCCTGTGAGGGAGGCTGGCTCTCCTGGAAATAGGTTGGAGCAACAACGGCACCGACGTCATAGTAAATGTGGTTTTGTTTTTTGTTTTTTTTTTCTGTTCCCATCCTGAGTTTCAGAGTACAACAGCCCCGTGTGAGCATTCATGACTGAATGAGCGTATATGCAAATGTTTGTGTGTGAGTATACTGAAAGAAATTTAACACTGCCTTAACTTAAAATTTTTGAAGTAATGGGTCACACCTAATATTTTAGCATTAACTTGATGTAACAAAATTAAGTTTTTGTAACCTCAACATTTTAATTTCATGTAAACTAATGTTTGTAGTCAAGGCAAATCAATAATATCAAGTTCCTTCAAATCAAAAAAAATTAAGTTGTATTTTTTACCTGATATTTTAAAATTGATAGAAACTAATTCTGAATGTTTGAGCAAATGTAACTTTTTTAAATTGTATCAAATAAATAATTGTGATTGTATTGTAAATATGAGATTCCTTTTACACTTGCATTGATTTACACCCAGCAGCACATTTTTTGTCTATAAACATTTATTGTTGAAAGAACATGTAAGCCAAAACAATGCCCCTAGATTTTTTTAACATGCATTTTTTTAACAGCACTGTAATTTTGTATTATGAAAGATATAGTATTAGCAATCAGAATCATTGAGATGTTTACATTTTGTCCAGATCAATCCTGCTGAATTGAACCAAACTATTCACTCAGAAAATCAAACAAATGATTCAATGAAATAAAAAATTGTTGAATTAAATCTGGCAACAAATATTACCTAAAAATAATACTAAAATGTTCATAAAACTAAATCAACTATTGTCTCATTTTCAACTAAATCAGGGTAAAATGTTACCAGGTACATTAGTGACTGTCAGTTCCAGAACTTTCAAATGCAAGCGATCCTTTCTTTGGCTGAGTAAAAACACTGCATTAGGTTTTGGATTGCTCCTTAAGTTTTTAACAAAGTATTGAACAATAGTCTCTGTACTTGAGTCTTTTTTATTTTTTATTTTTTTGCGACAGCAATAGCAGAACAAACATCACGAAAGGATCTAAAGTCCTTTTTTTTATAGATGCAACAATGGAAGACTCAAAGCGGAGTTCAACATCTCTAAACCAGAGTGCTCAGCTTGTGAAGTTTTGAAGACATCTTTTTGTCAACGAGCTCCATCAGAACCTTCTGTATGAATTCCAGACCAGATATTTTGGATACTTTAAGGTGAGGGCGTATATCAGTCCAAAGAATATGGCAACAGCTGTTGCAACAGAAGACACATCTGTCAGGACTGTGCTCCATCGATGACTATCGTTTTGTCTTTCGGTGGATAAAAAGGATCCTCTTTCCTGATGACGAACATTGCCATGGTTTCCAGTTGGTGTTGGACATTCTCCTGCACATCCTGCAGACACACAAAATATTAAAAACATGTTCAATTAAAATAGCACAAACCTTTATGAAAGCACATCAGTTTAGACGTTTTGCTTCCCAAAACACTGGAGTATGTACTGAAATATAATAAGTAGGACTGTTTATTAGGACAAAAAGGATAACCAAGGTTATTATGACAGACATTTAACATGACTTTTAATTAACGTTGACAACCAATACACCCAAAATAGAGGTAAATACTCCGGTACTGTAAAAATCTGTGCACAAAAAAAAAGAAAATAAACATGTAAGTGTGAATTACCACAACCTGCTGCATAATAATTATTTGCTTGTAAAATAACTTTTATCAGAGTAACATCCATCTACAGAGTTGTATGATTTGTCAGTTCATGTAATGTTTTTATGATGCACATGTGCGAAACATTCCTTTTCCCTTTGGAGATTAACAAAACACCCAGTGCAGGCAGGGTGTTTTGTTAATCTGCAAAGAATATCGCCAACATAGTTATTCAAGGAGTTGCTACGGGTTACCAGAAATCTTGATGGGTTGTTCGCTAAGCTCTTTTGGAAACAATAAATTCACAAAAGAGTTATGAAAAGTTGTTAGAAATAGTGATAAAGTTGCTAATTTGGCAAGAGTTGTGTGGGTGGTGTGTTTGATTTGCATAATACTGCAATGCCCTTCTAACTGGTCTTCAGACCTCTTCAAATGGTCCAGAGGCGCGTCTGGTCTTCAATCAGCCAAAAATAACACACGTCACCCCTCTGTTCACTGGGCTCCACTGGCTACCGCTAGCAGCACGCATCAAATTCAAATTGCTAGCACTAGCATACAAAGTCCGAGATGGTACTGCTCCCAACTACCTGAATCCTCTTGCAAAGGCTTACGTCTCGGCCCGGCCGCTCTGGTCATCACAGGATTGTCGGCTAGCAGTGCCCACACCACTCTTGGGACAATCCAGACTCTTCTCATGCATCATTCCACAAATGTGGAATGACCTTCCAAGCACTACCAGAACAGGGGCTTCCTTTTCGACTTTCAAGAAACTCCTGAAGACCCTGCTCTTCAGAGAGCATCTTCTAAACTAGCACCTTCCCTGCACCCGTCCCCCTCTCTACTGTCCAGTCCTTGTTCCCTCCTCTCCATGATTCATCAGGCTGCCTCACTGCCACCTACGACTGACTGGAAATTGGTTGTTGTTGTAATTGTTGTTGTTAGCCTGAAGGGCAACATGCCGATTATCACTTGTAAGTCGCTTTGGATAAAAGCGTCTGCTACATACATAAACATAAACATCTCAACACACAAGAAAAGAGTTTGTGGAGGTTGCTCAAGTTAGTAAGAGAATTTCTTACCTGGCATTCTTTAACAAGGTTCTCAACAGGTTCACCCAGGTAGCTCAGAGATTTGAGTACAGCCTCTCTTTTCATGGTGATGTCAACAGTCTGAGTAAGAACAATTGCTATTAATAACAACCTCACTCATAGCCCACATAAAATAAATATCCAACAATAAATCACACTAAACCTTATATCCATACCTCATCTAAAACTTCCAAGATCCCAGTGGTCTGCTCTTTCACACGTCCTCCCTTGCTCCTGATGACCTATTGCAGTTTGGTAGAATGTTTGTCCAGCGGTGCCAAAAATGTTGCCTCCAACGGAACTGCTGTAACTCGCAGGAACTCAGCATTGATCTGTAAAATAACAAGCACAACCTTTACTTAAGTTATAAGCTGTTGCCGACTTTGTTTTAACAAGTCTCTTTGTATTAGCTTAAATCTTACCTTTCTTCAGAAGCTTCTCCTTCACTGCAGTCAAGTGAGCCGAATCCTCCGAACGTTTTACGGTATCTCTGTTTAGTAACTTGCTTGTTGGCTGGAAAGTACGTCCATTCATGAGATATGATGAAATAATATCGGATAAAAATTCGGTGTACTAACATCAGTTAAAATACATATTTTGTTCATTTGCTCTTACCCCTTTCCACGTGGACGTGATTCTAAAATGGACGCTCTGACTAGGATGCGAAAAAGGTCCGCCAGAACCCTGAAGAACGTGCGTGTGCAAACTGGACTCAAGCTAATTGAAGTGCTTCATTCTAAATAGAAAATTTCACTTTGTGTGTCCTGCTGTCAATAACATTGGATTAAAGTAAAAAATCTAAATACTAATAAGCATAATTTAGTTTGAAATTGCAACTTAATACTTTTTCATCAAATGAAAGGCCAACATGTTTATTTTTTTCAGGACAGCGCGCCGACTGGCCTGAGCAAGACTCACGCCTGGGACACACTGGTCGCGGAAGCGCCGCGAAGCGCCGCGAAAATGGGACCGCCTTCATTCGGCGCCCTTGTTAAGCAATTCTATAGAACACATGGGCCGCCGAAGCGCCGCTAATCGCCTCGCGCCGGCGCTCCAGCCCGCGCCGTGCAGCGATCATTTCGGCGTCGGCTCAATTTTTTTCGCGAGCCGCAGGTGAATCGCGTCAATTCTGGCAGGAAGTCAAACCTAGACATAAGAGGCAGGCCGGTAAAGTTAACAAAATAAAGCATTTCAAAATAAAATTCTACAATAGTCAAATGTACTCGTAAACAGACACTGCAGAAAAACCACACGAACACGCACACACATACACACACATCGAACTTGTGTGCATGTGTGACCATGTGAAGGGGTGTGTGGTTTTGGGTGTCTTTTCACTGGAGCAAACAGGACAGAGAGGCAGAAGGTCTGAGGCAAGCAGTTAAGATGGATGACTTTAAATTGATTATGGAAGTTGAGAAACACAAGGAGCTGTACGACCCCCGAAAAACATGGTTATTTACGTACCCATTTAGGAAGAAACTGCTAGGATACAGCTGCAGAATTGGAGCGGGTTCCAAGAGATTCAACTGGCAGAAACAACTCATACCATAGGTTCACACACACACACACACACACACACACACACACACACACACACGCACACGCACACACGTACAAACACTCAAACGCAGAGGAAAAGAGCTGAGAAAAGGCAGAGAGGAAATGGAGGACACCAAGTTTTTAAAAGAAAAACTACAGCTGAGCCGAGGCGCGTCTGATCTGAACTGAGGAGCGGCGAGCAGCGGCCGAATTTCGTGAGCGATTCGCTTCTAGGCGCTTTGCGGCGCTTCCGCGGCCGGTGTGTCCCCGGCGTCATTTGGAATTAATCTACCCCGCTATCCTCCCCGACTGTGGAAATAGATGTAAGCAAAAAGTTAAGAGACAAATCATAAATAAATCACACAGTAAATAATAAGTGTTTGTGTTGCAAGTGACAATAGAAAAAGGCTGCATGTATGGCAAGGTAGGTGGAAGATTTACTCTCACATGTCGAACAAGCCGCATGTAGCAGGACAATAAATATGCCGCTGAGGCGCCTCGATGTGAATACAAAAGATTTTCCTGGATTAGTAAAAGGGCACATATATTATTTTTGTTTAACTTTTGGAAGCTTTGATAAAATATGAGATGATAAATAAGCAAAAATAAAACATGTGCATGAAAATGTTATTTATTGATGCTAACACATTTTACAGTAAATCTCTCCTAAGGCCCTTTGTAAGACTTGCAGAACCGGAAAGTTGGTGAGAAAATTGAGCTAAAACCAGACAGCACAGCAACTATTGGCACCGTTACTAAGTGCTTTAGTGTTTAAACTGCGGACACATATGTGACGTGCTAACAAAAGGTTAAAACGACTCCACATTTGAAGAAAGAATGGAATGAAATTCTCAATCAAGCATAGAAACTCCATGTTTTTTTTTTTTTTACCAGATTCACCTTGGCAGAGAGCCTCAGCTCACTCCTGGTCTCTTCCTTCATCTAAAAAACACCTCCGGTTATTATCACTCACTGAATGTTCATTTATTTTGTTATGAAGCAAACTACTTAGCATGGCTCGGAGCTACGACTATTATGTTCATTAGCTGACAGTATTTTGCCAGGATTTACTGCAAATTACTCATCATGTTACTAAAACGGAAAGCAACCACGCAGATTGTCTGAAATCCATCATAATGTGTTGTGTTACAATTTAACCAATTTAAACCTGTTGGTTTGTTTGTGATAATTTAGCGCCAAAGAGTTCAGTTTTTCCTTTTATATTTTTCATGTTTAAGATCTTGAATAACAACAAAAAAAGGCCTATGAGGTTTTCCTTACACTAAAACATGTAAACTAACCATGTAGAGAACTTTTCAATGAAAACGTCACAGAAAACTTTAAAAACGTTCCAAAAAAAGTCTATTAATTTTTATTTCATTCAATGGCTTGTGTATACCAGCTATCCTCATTAGATATATTAACTAAAGTCATTTATTGATTTTTTTTTCTTATTGAAAATCGTCTATAATGTGACCCATATTTAAGTTAAAGTGGCAGTGTGATGTTTCCTGCACTAGGGGGCAGTACACACATTTCTGGGTAGTTTTACAGCATATCGCTGTGACTTTTGCTAGTTAAAAAGTTACCTATGGAGCAGAAAGCGTGCAACCTCAGCGTGACTCCTCAGACTTTGATGGTCCTTCAACTAATACCACTGAGAGAATGCAATGCCGATTGTACTTTCCGGATCTGCTCGGGGTCATGCGCCCTGCCGATGACGTCATCATACTACGGCAATACCAATTGACCAAAATATATAGCATCTCTTTTTCGATTATTTTCTTTCACATCAGTTTTGGAAAGAGTTTAGCAGTTTTGTTATTAAATTCATGTTTCTTAATGGCTAAATGTTTTTGGACGTGGTAACATCAATTCCGTGAGTCGTACGTCCAGCCAATCATCTAGTGTGACATCATCAACAGGTGCAGAAGAAAGCATGGCTTCTATTATGGCGTCCCCCAGAGATGCCAGTCCCACACCCTCTGTACCTTAGACCTGATTTTTATGGTTATCTGTAACAAAGCCACCAATATTTTTCAACATCACAATATTCACTTTCAACAACGTTTCGAGGATGTTTCCAGAGATCAGTGATAAAAATACACATCATCTTTTTAAACATCATGTTTAATTTCAGAAAGTTTTCCATGAACTGAAGGATTCTGATGTTGTTACCTCCCTTGTTTGGACCTTCTACGACTGATCCATGAGTGCTGGTAAACTGCACTTTATTTTTCATTTGGCAAATGTGTGCATGTATGTTTGTGTGTGCGTGTGTGTGAGCCATCAATAAGACACTAGTGACTTCAGCAGTTTAATCTGGTTTGATATCCTGATTAACAAGGTGAGACACTGAACGCTGCTGTCACAGCTCACAAAAAAATCAACAGAGATCAAAGGCTGACGTGAAACCTTGAATCCATCCATCCATTTTCCTCCACTTATCCGAGGTTGGGTCATGGAAGTAACAGTTCTAGGAGGAATGCTGAGACTTCTATGTGTAGTGAAACACTTAAACTCCTCCTGTGGGATTCTCAGGTCACTGGGAACAGAGAAACCCTCTAGAAAAGTCTGGGTCTGTCCTGCACGCTCCTGCCAGTGGAACACGCCTGGAAAACCTCCACAGGAGGAATCGCAGGTCTGTGCCACCTCAGCTGGATCTTCTTGATGCAGAGTAGAGTCAGCTCTACCCCAAGCTTCAATGATAGATGCCTTCTTGGAGGAAGGAAGCATCTCAATCCTAATCTCCCAACCAAAGATACATGTTTGATTCAAGCAGGAGCTTTACTCAATCCAATATTGTGCTTCATTTGCTGATAAAGTGGATTTATCTTCTCAGTGTTTCTGTACTTTTTTTAGAAATTCTCTTTCTGAGATGCTCTCAATTTGAACAGATAGTGCTTTTTCTAGAGAATATAAAATGTGTCTTTTTTTTTGTTTTAGTTTCACTCACTCGCTCACACACACACACACCCACACACACCCACACCCACACACACACACACACACACACACACACACACACACACACACACACACACACACACAGCCCAAAAGACACATCCCTCCCCTGATATCCTTCCTATCTCCGTGTGGAGACTTCCTGACTTTCATTTTTTATTAGAGCACTTGGCATCCGATTAGATCCCATTTGTGGTGTTAATTAGCTGAGCTTCTCTGCTCTGACTGGCTACACAGCGAATAAGGCTGAGACAACAATGGACCATCAGGTTTTCTCCATGAGTCATTGAGACGTTGGGTAACAGTGTGGATGTGAGATCCATTAATCCAAAAGTAAATCCGTTCAGCTCTGCCACGACCTGAACTAGACTGCTATTTTCATGTCACTAATGGCCGACACTCAACAGCAAACGTCATTAAAGCTGCTTTAGCAAATTTGGAAAACAAGCTTAACCCACTCAGGCTCAAAATAAGTTTTGATAAAAGGACGAAGAACTAAGTCCTTCAGCGGTACTTCTGAGTTAAAAAACTGCTCATGAAATATGTATGTGGCATAATCAGGTAGGTAGGTTTTAACGTGGCATATCTGCAACGCCTGCCTCCAGAGGGTTAAAACATTTTTTCATGTATCTTTAAATACATTGTGAGGATGAAAAAATATATATTATAAAAAAATTAAAGTGGTTCTCTCACATTTGCATGAAAACCTCCACCAAAAACACAGGTGGGAATGAAAGCAACTATTAGACCATCCGGTTGTTGGTCTCACCAAACCGCCACACTTCCCCGGATCCTCCACTCATCACACACTCATGTTTTTAGCAACAGAACACCACTGGTGTGAGAGGTTCTTTAGGACTTAAGGACTGGAGTCCAAAAAAGAAAATCACCATTTGAAGCCATGGACAACAAAAGACGCTTGGACCTAGAAAACAACGACTGGTGTTTGTTTCCTCTGGTGACGTGGGTTTCTGGTTCAGGGGGACACAGAACCAGGGAGGATACCTGAAAGGAGGGGTGACTGTCCCATGACCATGTTTGCGTTCAAAACCTAGCTTTTTCTGGAGATTTGCTAACAGCTTTCACATCTGATGCTATTCAGCATCATGCAATCTGTTCAACACACACACACACACACACACGAGGTGTGGATCTTTGCATTATTATTTTATTTTATTTTTTTGCACAAAGCAAAAGTGTGGACGACAAGCTTATTGCATTACTGATTTTAGTTTGCCATTTCAGTTCTAGTCAGATTTCCCTTCTTCAAAATAAACAGGAAGCATAAAATTGCAAATAAATAAAATTCACATGTTTTATTCATGTGATTCACCTAATCAATATGCACTCATTCATTTCCAGTTTATTGCATTTTGTTGTCATTTAGGTTTGCATGAGTTACTCTCCTTTGTCACCTTGATCGTGCTGAGTTTGTGCATCACACACAACTACACACTGTAGCAATGAGCAATGGAAACCAGTGAAGTGAAGATAACGTTCATCTCACTACATTAATTTAGAAACAATAAAAGTTTCCTATAAAGATTCACCTGCGTAACGTTGAGTGTGTAAAGAAAAACCTGGACGACAGAAGCTTTGTTAACCTACATGTGATCCGCACAGACGTCCCTTGTTAAAACGATATCGGTAATAAGAATTAAGCTGGAAGGCCGATTTAGAAAGATTAACAATGAGATCCTACTATTCAAAAAAACTAAACTCAATCTGTTAACATCTACCGATGTTTTTTTTTTCTTTTTTTGGCACATCTGTTTCAGTATTGATTCATATTTAGTTCCATCATTTACACAGTATAGCAGTGGCATGTGTTGCTATGGCAATTAACAAGTCTTGTGAATATCAAAGTCACGGAGACAAGAGGCTTATGACTTTCACAAAGAGAGATCATTCAACCGACAAATGGATTAATTAAAGCTCGGGCTTACTTTTACCCTGGAAGCTGTGGTTGCATTATCTCCCCTGATCCCTGGCAAACAAAGCTTTCCTGCAGGCCGTCTGCAATATATGCACTTATGCAGAGTGATATTCCCAGAAAGGTTTTTCATTCTATTATTTTTTACATCTGTGGGAACAAGATGTAAATGTGTGTGTGAGATGTATTTTTTTTCCTTGTT